CTCCCAACTAGCACCTCCTTCGCCCCCACGAACCCTGCCTGCCATCCCGGCTGTCAGGCGGGCGATGCGTTGTTCCTACCGGAGGGCTGGTGGCACCAGGTGAGGGCACGGTGGGGGCTGCGGGGGTTCAAAGACCATACCAAACCATAGGAGACCACAAGTTCGGGCAAAGCAATGGGGATAGGAGTTGCGGGCTGCGGGGGGGTGGGGGAGAAGCGTGGTTGTGAGGAGGCGAGGGGTAATAATGCGGTGGGAGGGATGAGCAAAGGGCGCTCGTGAAGCAATGCGAGGACGGCGGCTTAGGAATCGGCTTGGAAAGCGGCTTGTGAGGCTTGCTGAGCGGCCGCTTCGGGTGCTTGGGTAGGCAACTCACTGCGGGGGTGCCAGATTGGGTTGCCTGGTAGGGCGCCTGACACCGATGTGAATCCGAACATCCCGCCTGCCTGCCTGCCTGCCTGCCTGCCTGCCTGCCTGCCCGCCCCTGGTGATACATCGCAGGTTGACAGCGGCCCCGAAACCACCATCGCCGTGAACTACTGGTACCGCTCCACCCTAACGGAGGCCCTAACTGCACAGCCGCCACCACTGGCTCGGGACCCGCCTCCGCTACCGCTACCGCTTGACGGGACGGTGGCAGACACCGCGGACGCCAGGAAGACGGGCGGAGAAGCAGAGCCAACAACCGGCGCCGGTGCAGCAGCAACAGTAGGAAGAGCTCCGCAGCTGCCATCACCACCAGCCTCAGACCTCGCAGCAGCAGCAGCAACAACAATTGCAACAGCAGCAGCGCAACCAGCCCACGTGCCGTCAGGTGTCCAAGTAACACAAGCGCTGCCCCAGTCGCTGCCTCATCAGGTCCCAAATGCCGTACCAAACTTCGTACCCAATGCCGTACCCGGACCAGGGCTCCGAAACCTTTACGCGCTACGTCTACTGACACGGGCCGCAATCGACGACATAGCACACGAGCTGCTGTCTGCGATCACGCCGTCATTGCTCCCGCAAACGGTGCTGCTACGGCAGCTGGGAACTTCCTCTTCGTTTTCGCGAACACCTGCTGACCTGGAACAGCGGCGACAGGGCGGCGACGGCAGCTGCTGCGGGGCAGCTCTCGGGGAAGCAGTGAACGAGGAGGATGTAGCGGCGGCGGTAGCGGCGCTGACTGCTGCCATTCGCGACAAGCAACCGTCAGCAGCAAATGCAACAGAAACGACAGGAGCAGCAGCAGTAGACAGGGATGAAGCGCAAGCAGCAGCGGCAGCATCAGCAGCGGTCCCGGGGCAGGGCGGCAGGCCCTCACTACCGCCACACACAGCGGGCTTGCTGCTGCTACTGGCGCCAGGGGAAACAGCCTCCTTGGGGTTGACGGACTGTCCTGTAGCCTCAGTGTTAGCAGCGCTACCGCCGCGGCTGCTGGCGGAGGTATTGTACGACATGTGCTGCAACACCCCTGAAGTGGTTTCGGAGCTGCTAAACCGTTGCTGCCGCGTGCCTGCGGTGGCATGCCTCTTGACGCGCGCGTTTGATGCGCTGGGTACGGGTGACGAGGAGGAGGTAGTGGAGGCAGGGCAGCAGGGTGGGGAAGCGGCTGCGGGAAAAGGGGAAGAGGGTGTTGGGAGGAGTGCTGGAGATGGGCTTGCAACTGGCTTTGCGGTGGGTGGTACGGCAGCGGCAGCAGCGGTGGGTACGGCAGCCACGGTGGGTCTGGAGGCGGCAGCAGCGACAGAAGACGTCACAGCGGGGTCGGAAACTGCTCCGGGGGGATGCGGTGGCAGAGGCGCCGGTGCTAGCGGCTCATGCAAGCGTAGCCGGGCAGCTATCGACCTTGCCACCAACACGGAATACGACAACAGCGGCGTTGGCGGCATTGCTGACAACGAGCCTGATGAAGGGCGTGATGCATCAACAAAGCGGCGGAGGGAAGGGGCGGCGGGCGACGACGAGAAGGCTACTGCTGCTGCTGCTGTACTGTTGGGGGACGGGGGCGGTGGGGGCGGCGGTGGTTGCAGCGATGAGACCCGCGCTGCTGCTGTCGCCATCACTCGTTGTGACAACGCTGCGGTTGATGACGATGGTGATCGGTATGGCCGCCACCCGCTGCAGTGCCGTACGGCATCATCATTCCCGGGCGTGTCGGCTTTCTTCAGGCGACTGTACGGCACTGTGGAAGATCCAGATCAGGTTAGATACCGGTAGTTTAGGTGGGCCGCATCAAACTGTACCTGAGTTGTGTTTTGTCCCCTTTTGTGGGAACTGAGCTTTATAGCGAGCGACTATCGTCCGCCTGAGTTGGCCTCGGCTGTCCTTCTTGTCGCTTTCCTGCTTGCTTTCCCCACTGCCTGCCTTTGACTTGGCCTTGATCCGGTCTCTGAAACCAGCTAACTACCCACCCAACCACCCCATGCTTCATCAGGTGTTTCGCATGTTGCTGGAGGGCCGGGCAGCGCTCAACAAGGCCGCCAGGCGGTTGCTTTTGGACTCGGTGCTCGCATGAGCAGTGCTGCGAAGGGCACGACAAGGTGCTGTCGTACTCTGTTGACTCATCGGGACTGATAGATGCCAACGCCTTAACAGAATTGCATGCATTGGATGTCAATCGCTGCAAATGCCAGGGATGCGGCGCCAGACTGGGTGTGTTGCCTGATTTGGCGTAGTCCTCAAACGATACTTGTGCATACGTTTCCTGGATAGGCTAATGCATTGCGCTGTAGGCGCGCGACAACGTACACACATGCCAGTTTTTATACACATGCATATGAACCAGTCGAAGCAGTGAAAAGTCATTGCACGCATCGCTGACAGTCAAGTGTGAAACTGCAGTGCTGTAGGATACTCTGGTTTTGAAGTGGGGGTTGTGTTTCACACCTGCAGGATGTGCGTTACAGAACAGAAGGAATAGTGAAACGGCTACCATGACAGCGGAGGTACGAGGTTTGCTATCCTCGGTCACAATGTGGGCATGCATCCTTGGGCCTTTTTTCCTGCTGTCATTGACAGCTGTTATGATCTGCTTGCTATTTCTTATATAGCTACGAGGCGGCTCGAGGTTTTTGTGTAACGGCTAGGAGTTTCCTTTGCGTCCTCTTATGGTTGTTGGTTGTCAATTGGCAGTGCGAAGATAGGTTTCCAGGCGTGTTGCAATTGTGTTCCTTCGCCCTATAGTCGGGATGAGGCGCACATTGGCCTCTCACTTGCTGCTTTTCGCTGCAACGGCAGCGCTGTTTAGCCATGAAGCCATCGCTGATCCAGCCGGTAAGGCCAGCACCCGTACCGTAACGCACAGTTGAGAAGTGACCCGTGGGTCATTGTGATTGGCCGAACTGAAAGCGACCTGCACAGTCTGCAGCAGCTGCGACCGTTCCTTCTCCCACATGTGTACCTTCCTCATAGCGGCGGTTGTTTTCTTCGACCGCTGAAACCCTCCGCCAGCAGCAACCTTGCCATAATGCTATCCCCGCGTTCCTAACCACCACCGTCGTCCCCCTCCACCTAACCGCATGGGCCTCTTAATCCCTTCACCCGCGCCCCCCCTGCAACGCATGCCTCCAGGCACTGCGTTTGGAAAGCGTGCAGCGGAGGAGGCCTCCGTGCTGCCGCAGCAGGCGCAGCAACAGACCCCAATCAATCTGAACACCTCCCCCAACGGGACCTCCTTCAAGACTCCCGGCGGGGGAACCATCAAGACCGTCACGCAAGTCAACGGGGTAAGCATGCACGCAGGTCCACGGGGTGGCGTGTGCACGGCATGCATGTCTATTGCGGGTCGTAATGTCAGAGGCCGTTGTCCCTGTTGGTGAAGCATCGTGTTTCTTCTTCCTTAAATGCTGCTCCAATCCCTCGCACGCCCTGCCGGCCGTCTCCACCCTGCCGCATGTCTCCTTGCCTACAACTTCACTCGTCAATGCAACTGCGAATCCTCAACTGCATGGCAACCTTTCCGACCCCTCCAGAGCTGTAGCCCCTAAAGACCCCAGCTCCTGCCAACTCGGCGCCACTTCCCTTTCTCCTTAACTCCCCTGCCTCTGCCCTTGTCCCCGCCGCTGCCTCCTCAGGGCCCTCCCATCATTACCTCGGGCCCCGGAACCACCATCCCCACCGTCGACCTGCCCGGCGGAACCACAGCCGCCGCCGGCGTCGTCGCTCCCGCCACCGAAGCTGCCGCCGCGCTGGCGGCACCGCCCGCCGGCCCCGGCCCGCAGGCTGCCGCACTCGCCGGCAGGCGGCGGCGGCAGCTGCTTGAGGCTGCCGGGGGAGGCAGCGGCGCCGTCACTGCTGGGAGGGCATTGCTGCAGAGCGGCGGTGGTGGCGGCAGTGGCAGCGGCAGTGCGAATGTGACTGTGGGCGGAGGTGGGTGTTGATTGGGAGATGGGGTAAGCGTGGAGGTGTGGGTGTGGACTTTGTTAGGGTTGCTTGCCGGTATTAGGAGGGGTGCGCGATGGCGCGCGATGGCGCGATGGCTTGCGCGATGGCTTGCGTTGCCGTTTGCTGTGGGGACAGTGGGCTGCCGCTGAGCGCACTGCAGCTGCCCCGAGCCTAGCCGAGACAATACCAGTAGTTGAAGCTGGCCCCAGCGGCTGTTGCGTACCGTACATGGAGGTGTGCTCTCTGTTGGGACCCCGTTTGGCAACCCCGCTCATTCATGACCGCATGCAGGCGGCAATGTGACAGTGTCGGCGCCCACAACGGGCGTCAACGTGACGAGTGGACAGGTGCGTGTCTGCTGCTTGGGTAGTTTGTACGGCAGTTGGGGCGGGTGTGTATATGTGGTGGAAGGTGGAAATGGCTTACTGCGACGAAGGATGGACGAGGACGGTACCCTAGGACGGTGATCCCTGTACGAGATAAGCGGGAAACCGAGCTGCATGACTTGCATGTAGCCAGGCCCGATGCAGCACAATCGTAGGCTGTAGCTTTACCGTCCACGTTCCCCAGGAGTTGCCAGAAGACCAGCACTAACACGTCGCGACGTTTGCCGTACCTACCCTGCCGTCGTACCCCTGCAGGTTTCCGTACAGAATCCATCTGCCCAAGTTAACGTCAGCACGGGATCCGGCAGGTATGGGTGAGGTCGAGGGGTTGTGACACCCTTCCGTCACCTATTACCACTCGTGTTTACCGCTCTGGGTTGCTTGGTCTAGTTAACCACTCCACTCGTCGTTGACTGACCCCTGGGTCTTCCACACCTAGACAGGGCACGTGGTACTAGCGGCAGCCAGTTGCTACTCCTGCTGTCTGCTTGTGGCTCTGTCCTTGCGTTTACCTGCTCATATTGTAGCCGTTGTTGATGTTGGTGCACACCCCTCATGCGCATGAGCCCTCTTGGCTGCGTCCGCACATCAACCACCATCGCCCAAAGCATGCATGTAGAGCCCTTTTCTTGCTGCACGCATGCTCCGTGTTCCCCCTGCTGCTGTTTCACGTGCACAGTGGCTCGGTCAATGTCCCCGGCGTCGGTCGAATCTGCTTTGCCGGTGGATGCCGTCGCGCTCTCCTCAGCGCCGTTGTTAGCAGTACGGACGGTTCCATCGGCTACAACCACCGCAGCCGTGCATTGCAGCAACAGAAAGGTGCCGTTCGCGCCGCGGGGGATATCCTGCTACAGCGCAAGATTGAAATACTGGAGAAGATAGCCGCACGCACAAGCGACCAGAGCGGAAGCGACTCGCAGGACGAAAGCGCCTGAGTGAGGCTGTTTCACACGTGAGGTTTTCTTATTAGTATCAGCACGTCTGTATGCCGTACATGTTGGGTGTAGTTGCTACTTGCTTGTCGTTGCATGGGGTGTTGACGTACCGGTATGGAGATCCCGCAGATGAGAGATAAGAGATGTACGTATGTGCGGTCTCCGGATTGTTGCTTGTGTGGCGCACACGTGCTAGGTATCGCGTATGTCGCACACGCTAGCTAGTTAGCGCTGCTGTTGTTCCTGCGGAAATGTTCAGAGCGTGTGATGCTAGCTACCGGTGGGATGCCTGCTGTCTTACGTTGGCCTTTTACAAGGAGTTCTTTATCATGCGCAGCATTAAGGTAGATATTCATGCAACAACTTCCTCCTATTGTTTGGCTCTTCATGCACACTGTCAGACGTGTAACGATGATGCACCGTACGCGCACCGAACATGTACGATATGTACCCTTCGTGTGTACGGCAATCGGCATGATGTCAAGATGTTGCGCCAAGTAGTCCGCCACACATCATGAGAACACCTGCGTATACCGCATACCATGCACTGTGACATGCACCTCGTTGGAACAATTGGCCGCGGCTGCCAGGGCGCGATAATATGCAACTACAGATCTGATACGGTAAGTTGCACCGGTAGCAAGCAAACAGCTTGTGATGAAGGGAAAGCTCCATGTCAACAGCAATGTACGACACACCTCACTGTACGTCAACGTACATGCATGCATTGTACGTCTTCAGGATACGCCCACGCAACGTTTATGTAGGGTGAATCCAGACAAAAAACCTATCCACCGTCAACACCATCGACCGCTCACTTCACCGTTACGTCTTCACAGGATGCCGCACATCCAGCCTCACATCCACCCAATCGTCCATTCCTCCGCTCACCCAGGCAAACCATCAAGCCATCCTTTGAACCATCCATTCGTTCGACCACCTCGTAAAGGAATCTTTGATTAAAGAATAACAACAGCAAAGCGCGCTACATGCTATTACACTAGCTACATGCTAGTCGTTCGTAACAAACGTAGGACGCAAACTAGGCTAACAGCGACCCATGGGTCATCCACCACTATTACTTTTACGGCACGGGTTCGGCGTTCGACTACCAACATGGCACTATCACATGCAACTGTAATCCTAATGGACCGGAACCGTTGCCAATTTCCACACTGGCTAGGTTTTATTATTAGCCTCATTGTTCCGGTATACCCGGCGGGCAATAGGCAGCTGTCAACACCAACCTGCTGAAGGATTCAAATGCATTAACATTCCAAACACCAACTACTGGCATGATGAACCGCTACGCATGTAACTCGTTTATTTTCATTTATACGTTTGGAAAGAATCCACCACGTACATTGAACATCGGAAAGCGGGAATTTGCCTTGCTCATGTCACATATGATGAGCCATGTACGATACGACAAAGTCCCGCCGTACAACCGAGCTACGCGCGAGTGCACGTTCCCGGATGCTGCACAGATGCCCACGCTGGCATGTTTCTTATCATATGACAAAAGTGCAACGCGACCAAAAACATGCATGTAGCCATGTAGTCGGTCGGTTGCTCCCGCTACCGGCATTGACAGCAAGAAACACATGCGCAATGCACAAGTAGTTCGCATCTCCCATAACCAAGTCGAGCCTCGTCCGCTGCTCGGGTCGCCCGTTTTGCATGCATGCCGCGGCCGCCTCCCATACTTCCCTTGCTCTTATACATCAAGCACGTGCCGGCATGTTGGGGTTGCCGCATTGCTTGTAGGTAGAGGCGGCCTCAGCTAGCGGCGGCGCATGACGCTAGCTAGTTACCACGACGACGACGATGGCAACCGCCGCCCAACCAGCCGAAACGGAAGCCGGCAACGGTAACACAACCGCTGCATGCATGGGGGGAGGGTAGGCAGGGCATGGGGGGGCATGGGGCATATGGGGGCAAGAGGGGGTATGGAGCCGAATAGTACGGGTACGCTGCCCGCCCCGCTACCCATGAGCAGTCCGATACTACGGTAGCAGTCCGGAAGCGGCAGGTGGCAGTCTCCTATGCAGGGAAGATGTCGGGACTCGGGAGGAAAGGCAACAGGGCCCCCCCAAAGGCCTCTCAAAAGGTCACGACAGCGGAGCTCCCTTTGCGGGTTTGTAGCATCTTATTTCGTCATGCGCCCAGGACCACATACGCCCGGATGTCACTCATCAACTACCCGACACGCACCTACATACACCTAGATGCTAACCCATCATGCCTACTTGGACCTCCTTTGTCCCGTTCCTCTCTCCGTTTGCCGCACATGCATGCTTGTGCCCCACCTGCCCCACCCACACACCGCCACCCGTCCCCGTTGTCAACCCCGCACGCGCACGCACCTGCCATCTGTGTCGTTCCTCTTCACATTCACCGACATGGCAGCCAGCGACACCTGTACGACACCAAACCGCGGAATGTACGACAGCGAGGTCAACACAGTGCAGGCGGTACGACACCGTCCAGGCAAAAGGTCATTGCCTAAAGCGGTACTGAAGCCGTTTAAGCCGGTACGACACGCAATGTACACAACGGTGGTTTGCTGCCTAAAAATCGCACCTGTTGGCTCGCCGCTGCGTCGATGCCTCCTGCTGCCTGGACGCCTGCCGCCAATTGTGAAGCACTAATGGTACGACCGCTGGAGCCGTTGGTACCGTTGGTGCTGATACCGGCAGGGCTGGTGCTGCTGCTGGTGGTGCTGCTGGTGCTGCCAGCTTTGCCGTCCACATCGCTTCCTGCTTTGCTGCTGTTGTCGTCTGCAGTAAGCACCCGCAGCGGACCTGCCGGCAGTGAACGGGTACGGCACGGGGGCGAGGACGGAAGTTAGGGGGGTGTAGTCAGGGGCGCGTAGCTAGGGCACAGCAGGAAAGCCGGACACACATGGCACTACTCCGACAGCCACCAACAACCACAGCACCCCCCGTAACAATGCTGCCTGGCTCCCACAACGGCAAAAGCCACCACGCGTTTGCAAAGCTTGCTTGGGCCGCAGGATGGCCCTTAGCTACACGCAGAGTACGTAGTGCTAAGCAAGGTCCCTGCCGTGTCTGACTTTGGGGACTTTGGACCTGCTAGCCCCACCCGTCCGTGCGTCAAGCGGAACGGAGCCGAGGTCATCAAGGTTGCACCCAGCAGCCCTGCTCATGCAAAGCAAAGCAGTGCTCGCGCACCTTGATGATTTGCGCTGCCAAGGCGGCTGCGGCTGCTCAGGGCGGCGTTGAGGCCCCATTCGCGCAGGCCTCGAGCCTCGCCTGCGTGGGCAGCGGCAGGCATGGCAAGGGAAGGCAAGGTTGGCGGTTGTGCGTTATGTATGTAAAGGGATGGGTGCGGAGCGTAGTGCGGTCTCGTAGCAGGCAGTTACGCTGCTATGATAGGCCGCATGGTTCAGACTTGGAGGTACAAAGGATCGTCCTGTGTTGGTTCGTTGCTAAGCTGCGGTTTGGCGTAAGGCGTTATTGGGCTTACTTAAGAGGCCATGTTGGGCTGCGTCAGGAGCTGCTGATGATAGGAACGGCGCGCAGCGGTGACGCGACTGTTATCGTTGGCGAACGGAACGAAAGGGTAGCCTCTCCCGAAAAAAGGCCGTGTATAGCTACTGAGTTAAAACCCTGGGGGCGCTCACCGGTTCTGAGGCAGGCTAAGAAGGCAACGACCGCCAAGCATAATCCGGTCGTTAAGAGCAGCGGGCACCCAAACGTCGAGTTGTTTCGGCGTCGAAGGACATGCTTGCTAGCCATGTTCGAATAGCTGGTAGAAATAGGTTTAGTTTTGATTCTGTTTCTTAAGCTTGTTAGTGAATTGAGCCGGTAAGCGGCTGTGGACTACTGTTAGGCCACACCTATGACTGACGGCGGGATTGTCGGGATTGCTTCGCGCACTAAGGTTCCGCTAACCAAGTTGAGGCTCATCAATTTAGCTCTGCCATGCTATATACTTCCACCGCCCCGTATTCAACTAATGCTTCCCTTCTTGCATGCGGCGAGCGACGCGGTCGACACTATTCGACAGCTTCTTTGCGGTTGCAGAAACAGCAATGTCCCAGTAATCGTAACCCATATTCGCGATGCAGCAGCAGGCTGCTGCTCGCAAAGAATGTGCTTGTGGGCCGATCTATCTAGCTCGTCCAAGGATCGATTTGTAACAGCCTACCCCAGCCTGCTCGACGCATGTACTGCAAACGTTATAACCGGAAGCGAAGCGTCGAACCCACCACTCGTAACCGTCCTTGAGCTGCTGCATATACGGATGCACTCGACGTAAAGGGGTATAAAATGCCTTTATCTCGCTAACTATTATTTTAACAAGCTCTCAGCTACTTCTTTCGCTTTCCACTTTCACTTCCCTGGGTTCGCAAAATCAAGTAGAGCAATAGAGGTATCAGCTATCTACTTCCAATACACATAACCTAATTGCAACAGCTGGAGTTAAAAGGTCTCGACAACTTAGCAGCGCCCTGACAGCAGTAGTCCTCCTTATATACGACATGCGCGCAAGGACCTCTTCCAGCGGGGCCGCGCGCTGGCCTCAGCGCCCCGCAACCCGCGGCCTCCCGCCCCTCCTGATCGCAGCCGTGCTGGTTACGGCAGTGCTGACACTGCTGCCTGCCCCTGGTAAGTGCTCGCTTGTAAGATAGAGCTCCCCTTGTTAGAGATATCGCACTACGTTATCATCCAATGATGCTGCCGTACGTTTCGCTGTCCCCCGCCTCCTGCCGCCACCATCGCAACCCATCCACAGGTGCCGCCGCGAGAAGCCTGAAGACCCAGGGTGATGCCAAGGTGGACGTCCAGGTTCCACCGGTCAGCGTCAACGTCGGCGGTGCTTCCAACGGTAAGACAGCTTTACCGCTAAGCAAGGACGCGGGCGCGGGCTGGGGTGCTGCTAGATAGGCGGGGAACAGGCAGCTTTGCATGCTTGCCGCATGCCGTGTTTAGGATGACCCGTGGGTCCGTTCTTGATGCTTGGTATCCTTGGAGGCTTACCCGAATCGTTTGCAACTGAATTGCTTGCAACAGGGGACAAGCAGAAGGGCAACGGCAACGGCAACGGCGGCGGAGGTTCATCGGCAAGCGCTTCATCCAGCTCTGGCGTCTACGTTCAGGCACCGTACACAACGGTTGCAGCTGGATCCGCACCGCCTGCACAGCAGCAGCCACAGTCCTCTTACGGCAACAACAACGGCGGCAACGGCGGCGGTGACGGGGTGAGTGTGGGGATAAAGGGTATGCATGCCGCGGTTACATTGTCATGTACGCGGGTCTTTGACGACCCATGGGTCACTTAACAGGGAGGCGACCACTCATTCCAGCCCTTACCACCCCGCTGCCATTATACATGTACCCGTACGTGCCCTTTACAGGCGGCATCTTCCGGCATCAGTGTCTCGGTGCAGTCCGAGTCTGGCAGGTTGGTTGTTTTAGTTGGTTACCGGTAGTTGTGGTGGATTAGTTGCACTAGGATCTGAGAACCTTCTAAGCAAGCGTTTCGCCTCGTCTGGTCGACGCCTTACTTCGCCTTGCTGCATGCCTTGCTGCAGCCTTCTGTGTAAGCAAAAGTTTAGGCGGTGTAAAACACCTGTAACTATAGCCGCCAGAGCTCCTCCCACGTGCCTTAGTCTATAGCACAGAGCCGTTCATTAGGCCCTGTGTCTCCGACCACCTCGTTCGCTCACGTCTCTTGTGCCCGCGCACTGCCTTCTTAGCGGTTGCGTTTCAATCCCTGGCGTTGGCCGCATTGGCTGGATGGGTGGCTACTGCTGCTCTGGCCGCCGCTGCTACCGCAGTCCCCAGAAGGCCAAGGATTCCTCCAAGGACGACGCCAAGGCCAAGGGCTCTGGCGGCGGAGACTACCAGGGAACCTACGTCAGCGCTCCCACCACCACCGTCCAGGACACACCGCAAAAGGTATGCATGCACGAGGGCATGTAACCATGCATCCATGCACCCATGCATGCATGCATGAGGCTGGGTAAACCGAGGGCAGCGAGGGGAGTGGCAGCAGCAGGCGCAAGGGGTGCCGTACGCACATGTGGCGACACAACCTGCTGCTAGATAGATATGTGCAATTGTTGGATGCTGCGTACGTACTCTCGCACTCTGCTGAATGATACGCTATTAAGGTGGGGCCATGGAAGCTGGCCCCTGTTGATTGCCGCCTTAACTTCGCAACTAGTAATCCCCACGCGCTGACCTCCCCCTGCCCCTGACCCTGCGCGCGCGCAGACGGTTGTTCGCAACAGCTACGCGGATGTCGACGTGGACAAGGGCTCCGGAAGGTGGGGGGGGGCAGGGGGTTGAGGGTTGCGTGAGGGAGAGGGCTGCCACTGATGAGGAGAGGTAGGGCTGCCGCCCTGAGAGAGGTCGCACTGATGCGCCATGTATGCATCTCCTTCCTAATTACCGCCAGTCACCCTAGCGTCGATCAACGTTTCACCCTAGGCATGCCTCCCACGCATGATGCATCCTTCCCCTGTCCTTGCTAGCTACCCCTGCGCTGCAACCCTGCCTCTTCCCCGCTACCTGTAACTCCTAACCTTCTTTTCCCCCAATTGCAACCTCATTCAACACACTGGGTGTTCTTCTTTTCCCCCCATTTGCAACCTCCCCCCCATTCCCCCGCCCACTGCACCCCGCCCCGTCCCGCAGCGGCAGTGTGGTCGTCCCTGTGGTTGGCAAGATCAGCTGGGACGGACACCGCCGCAGCCGCAGCCTTCTGGGCGGTGATGGTACTTCCGGCAGCGGCAGCGGCAACAGCGGCGGCAGCTATCAGGGCACCTACGTGAACGCACCCACCACCACCGTCTGGGATACCCCACAGGGAGTGAGTACCTGCCGGTATCGTGTCGTACGTACGGAAGCAACGATGACCTGCCGCATGCCAGGGCCGTCACTTGTCATGTTGTGCCCTGCTGACCGTAACCCCTGATCGCACTCACGGCCATGGATCTCTCATCCCTCCTAATGCCCACCTGCCCCTGCCCCTGCCTGCTTGCGCACATGCAGACGGTTGTTCGCAACAGCTACGCGGATGTCGATGTGGACAAGGGCTCCGGAAGGTGAGGGGCTCGGGGGTGAGCGGTCCCCAATCTGAATGGGAGTGCATGCGGAATGGGAGGTTAGAATGGCAAGGAGGAGGGCTACGGTGACAGTGAGGTCGACCCAAGAGCAGGACGCAGGTGTATGGGAGGCGCAAGCAAATATAAGGGGACCGTGTTCTTCCGCATGCATCCCCTTGCATTCCTCCTCTTCTCCTCAGCATGCATTTTGCCTCCTTCTGCTTAAGCCGGCTGAGCCAGCTCTGCTTCCTTATTACCGGCTGCTCTTCAACCTTGTTTTTCTTCCTGGCTTCCTCGCTTTCTCCGTTTCTCCGCTTGCCCTGGTCGCTGTCACCGTTACTAACTCTTTCGGCCTCCCTCCTCCCTCCCTTTCACACAACCGCTCCCACGCTACCTACTCGCTCCCACCCCAGCGGCAGTGTGGTCGTCCCTGTGGCTGGCAAGATCGACTGGGGCCGCCGACTCCACCGCAGTCTTCAGGGGGATGCGTCTGGCTACCAGGGCACCTACGTGAACGCACCCACCACCACCGTCTGGGATAACCCACAGGGAGTGAGTACCTGCCGGTATCGTATGCAAGCTTGTACCTGCCGGTATCGTACGGAAGCTAGTACCTGCCGGTATCGTACGGAAGCTAGAAGCCAGAGGGACGAAGGGGAAGTGTGGCGCTAGATGCTTGACATACAGCAGACGTTTTTTTCCCTAACCCCCTCTTAACGTACTCGCGGCCGCATCCCTCGTGCCCACCTTGACCTGGCAACTAACCCTCGCGCGCTGCCCTGCCCCTGACCCTGCATGCGTGCATGTAGACGGTTGTTCGCAACAGCTACGCCGATGTCGATGTGGACAAGGGCTCCGGAAGGTGAGGGTGGGGGGGCAGGGGGTTGAGGGGGGCTTCGAGAACCGGACTGGGAACCCAGAAGCCTGCATGCAGAGCTCGCCATCATGACGTACCGGTATCGCGTGCACGACAAATGGACTCGTTGTGCCCTGACACTGCTTCGCCTTCTTACCGGCTGCTTTTACCCTTTCCCTACTCCCTTTCTCCGTCTCTCTTCACCCTACTCCGATCCCGTTACCAATCACCGTTACCAATCAATCCTACCCTCCCCCTCTCACAACCGCTCCCACCCCAGCGGCAGTGTTGTCGTCCCTGTGGCCGGCAAGATTGACTGGGGCCGCCGCCTCCACCGCAGCCTCCAGCAGCAGACCGACCAAGGCGACCAGCAGCAGCAGCAGGGAACCGCCAGCGCGCCCGGCACCACGGCTGGAGACACCTCGCCCAGCGTGAGTAGCTGGGGTAGAGCATGAAAGAGACCCATGGGTCTGGCAGATAGACCGGTCTCATGATGGTGTTAGGGGTTTGAGGTAGGATGCGGATTGGTTAACATGACCCATGTCGGAGCCTTGCGCTTAAACAAGGAGCGCGTGCTTTGGTTACTTGTTAAGGGCCTCCACCTATATATGTGTCGTACACACATTGCTGCTGGCTGGTTCTTGTACATGCATGGCAATCAACGATATGGTGGGTACGAGCATGCACGTATGCACGCCCTGCTGATCAGATCTCTGCTGTCCTGGCTGTCGTCCTCTTAAGTATCCCTAAAAAAGTATCTCCTGCTGCCCCCGAAACACATCTCATGTAATGATGACCCATGCAGGTCGCCAGCACCAACACGGACCAGGGCGGCTCCGGAAGGTAGGTAAGTGCGTGCAGCAGACAGAAGGGTGTGGAATAGTTGGTGGTTGGAATGAAGCTATGTATGGGGGACAAAGCGAGGGCCGAGGTTCGCAGAGTCGCAGGGTAGCAGATAGGAATAGTGCATGCATCTAGGTGCACTGGGTAGGCCTGGTAAAGAGTTAGGTAAAGTCTCTATTTGGGGATACACTGCTTGTGCAGACCTGCATAGGATGACCTTACAATACCGGTGTTAAGAATTGCTGGCACCAGCAGCGGATCTGTCCCTCACCACGGTACCGTACATATCTTCTGCTGCCCCTCATCATTGAATTCCTTCCGTCGCTTCACAGGTAGACACCTTCATGCGCCCATCCGCCTCCTGCATCTATCACACCGTGCGCATCAGCGGATTACTGGAAGCCCATGGGACCGGTCAGGGAGCTAGGCGGGTGGATGAGCCCACTAGTACCCCGCCCATGCGGCCTGCTCCAATGCACGCGGCGTGTGTTAGATGAGTGCGCGGGACGTTAATAATGGGTACGGTGATGTGTGGTGGCAAGGTGGCGCGCTACTTAGGCTAAGAAGGGAATGGTGAAGCGGCCTCAGAGAAGAGCATGTCTCATCATAGTACATGAAGAAAATAACTACTATCTAGTAGCGTTCCGGCATTTGTTCTCATCCTTTTTGTCCTTTTGGATTGACGATCTTTCAAGTCATCTTGCCTACTATTCGTCACTCCTTTTTTTGTGCTGCTAGCAGGCCCATTCCTAGTTGGGTGGGCTTAGTTACCGCTTACCGGGGCACGCATGGGGTTTGAACATTTGGATTCTGTGTTACCGTTGATGTCCCGGTCATGTCTCTCTTTATTCCCCTTGCGTACGTACCGCTGTGTGTGTAGGGGAGACAGTGAGCGGTGAGACACACGCGTGCCAAGGAAGGGTTGATGACCTTTTATTGCATGTCCTGTACTTCCGACATATGTCAACCTATGTGTCCTGGGAATAATGGCTATGGCAGCCCTCGTTTTTTGTGCGCTTTCACCACAGCAGGTGTAGACATGTCAGGGAGTAGGGATTATGGGCCTGACCCATGGGTCCGCGTGGATACTGTTCAGGGAATGCCCTGGCATACAAGATCGAGGCAACTAGCTCCCGGCCGAGACGGCGGGGCCACTCGTATGTTGAATTCCAGTTGCGTCAAAACGAATGGCTTCAGTCCTACTGCCGTCTGTTCTTTGATGCATTTGATGCATGTGCCGTACATGTTTTGTGTTGATGAGAGGGGTCCGTACGCCGTACTTTTAACGTAAGCCACAACTACCGGTAATGGATCTGGACGTGCAATGTGCCTTCTAGTTGTCCAGTCGGGATGTTTTTTGCATATTGTATCATAGCCGGCTGCTTCCAAGGCAGGTGAGCCTTCAAAGCAGTGCCGTTAGAATGGCAGTTGCTATTGCAGTTGTTTGCTTTGTGTGGCGATGCATGTACCGGTACACCTGTTTGTACGACAGAGTCAACTGTAACGGTCGTACCTGACGCAATTTCCTCACTTCATACCCCATTACTTTCCACACATACCACTACTCTTTACGGCACAACAATACCTGTCATGCATGTGCCCCTTTCTTCACTCCATGGTTCATCACTTACAAAGGAAGATAAGAAGAATGCAGTGCCTGTTACATACATCAGGAACGGAGTAGCCTGCATGCAACGTCACCCGATGCTGACTGCCCATGTTGCTGTTGCTGCTGCTGCCGTCGTGCGGCGCTACACCTCCCCCCAGCGCTAGACACCTAGCGGCTATCTACTGGTCCATCTCTGCCGTGTCCTCGTCATCGTATCCATAGCCCCGCATGTCGCCAAAGTTCAGCTGGGGAGGGAGCAGGAAGGAGGGGGCAGGGAGGTTAAAGGATGGATGTAGAGACAGGGTAGAGAGAGAACAACAGGAACAAACAAGCCCAACTCACCGAACCCAACCCACAGAGGACGCAGGAAGGCGAGACAGGACCAGATCACTACAGGTATGGGATGCAGGGATGAGGAATCAGCAGGCAGGTAGGCGGAGCATGTACCCTGCCCATGCCGCAACGCAACCATGCAACCCCAGCAGCGGTACATATGCAACACAGCCCCATGTGCAACCTCGCTACACCCCCTGCACCTAACATGTGTACCCTAGGGCATGCAACAGTCTACCCCAGGGGCATGCGGGTAACAGGCACCTCTCATGCACACGCCTCACATGACGCACTCCCGCCATCAACCCGCCGTTGTTATTTTCACCCGCCTCCCTCTCGTCCTCCTCCTCATACGTGCTCCTCCCCCTCACTCCAATCCCACCTCCTCGCCGCTCGCCTCCTCCTGATGACCGAAACCGTAGCCCGCCTCCTCGCCCAGCAGCTGCGGATAGTCCTCCTCATCCTCGCCGTAACCGGCCCCATAACCGCCGGGGTAACCGTCAGATCCGGATTGCTGCGGCTCGGAGGCAATGTACGACAGCTCCACGTCAAACACCAGCGTAGCGCCACCTGCGGGCGGTTGGTAGCTACCCTTATTAGTTAGGTAGTTGGGAGGTGGGGCGGATGCGAATTGCACGAGTGCTTGGTGGTCGGGGACTGTCGTACATGCGTGTGTGTGTATGAGGGGAGGCTCCTAAGCGAGGTAAGCAATGACGAAGGTGAAGGGAGTGTGAGAAAGAGCAGAACAGCAGATACATGCGTGCGGCCAAAGGGATAGTTAGGGCGGCACCTCACAATCAACACACCACCTCAGCTGTAACATGCAGGTCAGGTTAGGGGCTCCTTCTTTCACTCTTGCCTGGAATGGGGCCCATACCGCCGTCTCCGTAGCCCAGATGCGGTGGAATGTGCAGTCGGCGCTTCTCACCCGGGCTGTGTGCAGGAGGAGGGCGTTATCATGTACAGACAAGATTAGAGACAAGAAGCACAAAGCGCAGCAGGAGGTGTTAGGGCGGCACTCACCACATACCGAGGATGCCCTGCTCCCAGCCAGCAATCACCTATGCGGGGACCAGGCAGTGTGTCAACGATAATGTTGGGATGGAAGTAGGGTCGGTTGCACTTATTGGCACGTCAGGTCTTTTTACCTGTCCATACCCAAGCTGGAATTCAATGGGTTCACTTCGTTTGTAAGAGTTGTCGAACTCTGTGCCGTCCGTTAGCTTGCCCTGCATGCGCATGCAAACAAACGTCACATCATAGCCTCCATAAGCTCTTCAACAATTCACAGCTTACAATGTAGTGTACTCCAACATAGTCTCCATTTTTAGCCTTGGTTTCGCATTTCTCGGGGCGGTGCTGCACATGTAAAATGATCCGGAACATGCACAATTTAACCAGACATCCGCACTGTTATGGCAACGCCAATACAGCCGAAAAAGCGTGCCTTGACGCCAATCTTGACGCTCTCAGGTTCCGCAGCGATGGCTGGTGCAAAAAAGGCTGCACCGAGCAGCAGCACGGCCAGCTGTGCCGCTGCCATGTTTTAAAATGTAGAACGTACAGCTCGTGTTAATGCACTTGCAATGGCAATACTGGCTTACCGCGTGTTGGCGTGTTGCTAACTACCGTGTACTACAAAACGAAACACGCCATCTACCGGTATAGCTCTACCAGGGCGTGCATTTGGGCTTGCAACGAGGTTGCTCTGGTAGTAAGCATGTTCCTTTGGATGAATGCTGTCAGCGGTTTGCGCACATTTGCCGTGTAGCTTTTGCATTGCAGGAATACTGGTAGCTTCCTTCCTCGGCAGGCGAAAATCAGCTTTGCAGCACGAACAAACGACACAGAGAAGTGTAATGCAAGATCTGCTTAGTGCAATCCTGGAGGAACCACGGGACGTCAGTAGGGCCAATCTTGGGCCACTGGGTCTGGGATCACTTGCGTCTCCGCTAACGCAGATGGCCAACTGGGTAACGCCAGATCACATCGTTCTATGATAACTGTCCTTCTTAAATACCGCTTGGCCACAAGAGTCTTGTATTCCTAATAATTTCCTAGTAACCACCCGCCGGAGAGGAATTATTTTCTGAGTAACCACTTGGTCACTAGTGACCACTTTTAAAAACACTGCCGGCACACTGCCACACTGGTCAAGTTGACAAGACCGTCCTTCTTACAGTCCAATCAAGTGCCGAAACCTTGCCTGCAGTAATGTCCCAAGCGTTTATGCTAGCAAGTACAGCTTGTCACTAAGTTCATGAAGGGTAACGAGTTTGCTCCGCAGGCAAGGAGGTACACTCAACGCGTGTGGGACACGTCCAAGCTCGTCGCGTCAGACGTCACTTCTTGCGTTGGTTTAACGTAGATGGGGCATAAGTTAACTACAACATGTGATGTACTGGCCGGAACAGCAACTCTTGTCAGTAGCTGGTAGCGAGCCGTACAGGACGGACAACTGCCCTGTCGGGACACGTTGCCTAACACCCTTTGCCCTACGCCACCTTATACTTTAGAAGTACTTGCAAAAATGGCCGAAACTGAGCCTACCGTTGAGCAGCAGCCGGAGGCCGCTAAGCGCAATGATGAGCCCATTGTTTACGACGAGTCTTTGCTTATCATAGTAAAGGGCAAGGTCCAGCAGCCGAAGCAGCCGGACCACACAGAGAGCCGCCTGCTTATCCAAAAGCTGCAGGCCGAAATCACAAAGCGCGGGGATCGCATTAAGGAGATCAAGACGTTAGAGGAGCAGCTGCGCAGCAATGCCAAGGGGTTCTCGTCCGGCAACAAGGAGGTCATCAGCAAGCTCCGGGAGCTACGGGACCAACGGGCAAACATCATCGTGAGTGGGTCTTTGGCTGTGCCGATAAGCAATGGCCGCTTCAGCCCAACGGTCACCCACGCGTTCTTAACACGCATTACTTGGGTCGCTTAAGAATTTCTAATACGCTTGTGGGTTGCGCGCAAACTGCCTGTTTGCCTCTCTGCAGAGGCAAAAAGCTGCCATCCGCGACGAGCTGAACAACTGCGATGGCGCACGCGAGTCCATCCGGGCTGAGATGCGGTCCATCCGCGATAAGAACCGCCTTGTGAACGCGGAGAAGCTCGAGCAGGAGATTCGGGACCTGGAGTTTAAGCTCGCGCACGAGTCACTGCCGGAGCAGAAGGAGAAGCAGGCTCAGCAGCAGCTGCAGCAGCTCACGGCCGCACGCCCGCTTGCAAAGAAGTTTGCTGAGTTCGATGCTCGGTTGAAGGAGGAGGATGGCAACCGGGCGAGCATCATCGCCCGCTTGAAGGAGAGCGACGCAGTAATTGCCACGCTCGATGGGCAAATTGCTGCTGCCAGCGCAGTGCTGGACGAGGCGCGAGCAAAGGCGGACTCCCACGCGGCCGATCTTCCAACGCTGCAGGCACGGTTGGGCTTGGTTGGGGGACCATGCTTAAGAACACGACCGTTGGCATGTGGACATGTCTTGCAACATGGAAGGCATTTTGCACTTCATGTTTTCTTACAAACTGTTAGAGCCTTACTAGTTGTTTGCCGTGGCGATGTCCGTTTGACAGCTGGTGTCTAAACAGTAAACATGGTGGCCCGGCCTTGGACATCGAAGGCACATCAAGGCCCTCTGGTTGATTGCTCACCCACAGCACGTTCTACCGGTACTGAACCCCTCACTCAAATCCACGACCCACACCAGATAACCCCTCACTCCCGCTCACCCCTCCGGCTCTTGCACTTTCCCTCACCTCCTCCCCCAACCGCCCATGCAACCGCGCACAGGTGGAGAAGAAGGAGAACTACGAGATCATGGTGACGCTGCGCGCCAAGATCGACGAGCTGCGCAAACAGAACGACGCCGAGTACCAGGAGTTCGTCAAGCGGGACCGGGCGTACAAGGGCTGGAAGCGCGACCAGGGCCGCAAGAAGTGGGTATTCACAGGCAATGGCTGAGATGGGGCAAGAACCGGGTAGTACTAGGGCCGCAAGGAGTGGGTGTAGCTGAGATGGGGGCAGCAGGGGGCTAGGGTGGGTATCGTAGCTAGGATGGCCGCACGGGGGGAGTTGTGTAGCGGTTGGTACCATAAACGGTTGCACTCTGCACTATGCCAGCACCGCTGACCGTACTTTTGTTGTCGTACTTTTCGTACGCCGTTCACAACGCCCATAGGTACGAGGAGCGGCAAAAGGAGCGCGAGGAGCGCGACCGGCAGCGGCAGGAGGAGAACAAAGTCATCCTGGGCGAGACCGTTTCGGAGCCGTACAGCAACGAGGTGAGAGCCGCACGTTGCTGGCTAGGGGTGGTGGCAGCACCAGAGCATAAGCGATTGTATTTGCCGGGATGTATTCAGCCCCAAAACCCTCAACCGCACCAACCACCGTGTGCCCTTGCAGCCTGCACGCGCTCTCCCCTGCACCTCTCCCCTACAACTGTCCACCAACTTCCCTCTCCATACCTCCATACTCCTTCCGCGCTGCCCCCATGCAACCATCGCACTGTGTGCTGTGCGGCTGTTACCCATCCTGTTACGCATTCTTAATAGGGTTCCTATTGAGAGCAAACATCCCGCTATCGCCGAACTGCTTACCCCCGTCCTGTCAATCGCCGCTCTTCCCCCTTAGCCCTGCGCCACCCACCTCCCCGCCCCTCATCCACCGCCGCCGCCGCGCCCCGCCTCCCCCTTTTGCAGATCTTCACCTGCGACCAGCTGCTGACCTACCTCCGCTCCTTCACCGCCGTCAAGGAGGAGGTGAAGGAGGAGGTGAAGGCGGTGGAGGTCCCCGCGGGCCTGAAGCCCTTCAAGCGGGCCGAGGTGGTGGATGAGATGTTCACCGGGGTGCCCAAGAAGGTGCCGCAGGGCAAGGGAGCGAAGGTGAGGGGGCAAGGGGGGCAGGGTGAGGGGGCAAGGTGAGGGGGCGAGGGGGGAAAGGTCAGGGGATGAGGAAGAGGAGGGAGGGATACCGGTATTACAACTGAGCCTAGGTAGGGGCACGGAAAGGGAGGAAAGGAGGAGGGCAGGGGCAGGGTTTTACAGCCTTTACGCTCTCCAAGTCTGACGGTGTCCCCCCTGTCCCCCCTCCATACCAGGGTGCTGCCGCTGCCGCCGCCGCACCCGCCAAGCCGGCCGAGCCGCCCAAGCCCAAGGTGCAGAAGCTGAACCACTTGCTCGACATGCTCAAGGTCTTCCTGCAGCTGCAGGTAGGGAGGGGGAGTGGGGGACGGGGGCCCCGGGGGTTGATAGGAAGAAACAGGCAAGCTGTGGGACAGGGCGGGTGGGGGGAAGCACAGGGCGAGAGATGGTGATGAGGTAGCGAGTAAGGTGCCAGTTGCAGTGTGTACTGCGATTTCATACACAACAAGAAATACCCATCTTCCCCCACCCGCTGCCGCTCAGGTGGAGCCCCCCACCAGCACCAGCGCCATCCCCGCCACCATCGAGGCGGTGGAGGCGCGCAAGGCCCACTACAAGGAGAAGCAGGAGGAGGCCAAGCGGGCACCGCCGCCGCCCGCACCGGCACCTGCCGCCGCCGCTGCTGCCAACGGGCGGCAAGAGGAGGTGAGAAGCTGGCTGGGGTGTGCGGTGTGCCTCGGTAACTTGTGGCGGCTGGGGGGGTGGGGCAGGGTCATGGCGGGTGGCACAGGTCGCATGGGTTGGGTTTGGGCATACTTGATGCCGTACGGGAAGACATGGTTTGGTTCATGTGTGCGGGGGTGGTGTGTGTTTATCAGCCGGTCGTTAGGAACGTGTGCGGGGGCAGCCGGTCATTAGGCAGGAGGTTGTTTGCTGGCGATTGCGGACGAGGGTGCTTGCTGGTCGTTAGAAGAAAGAGGACCTGCTTAGGAGATGCTGTGTGCAACTCATCCTTCCTGTTGCTTGGGCCTTCTCTTTCCTCAGGCTGCCGAGGAGGCGGAGGAGGAGCCCGCCAGCACCCCCGAGCAGGAGGGCGAGCAGGAGGAGGCCGCAGCACCGCAGGAGCCCGAGCCCGCTGCCGCCTCTTCCACTGAGGCTCCGGAGGCTGAGGCCCCTGCCGCTGAGGCCGCCGCGCCGGCTGAGGCCCAGGCCCAGGCCCCAGAGGCTGAGGCGAAGCAGGAGGAGGAGGAGCCCGCTGCCCCGGAGGCGGCTCCCGCGCCGGCAGCTGAGGAGCCGGCTGCTGAGAGCGGGGAAGCTGCTGCGGCGGCCGCGGATGAGGAGGCGGCCTCGCCGAGTGAGGGTGAGTGCCCTGAGCAGCACTTCCACATGGGGAGACACACTGGGTACTCTTAGGCGCCTGTTACTGGGTTGTAAGAAGATAGATGGGTAGCCTACAGGATTCATGGGCTGAGAAACGGTTGTTTTGAAAGCTGCTGGATCTAAGCGGGCCACTTATTTTCTGCCACTCGCGCTCTTTTCGGACTCCTTAATGGATGCTTAGTAAGCTAACAGCTCACCTGTTGCCGCTGCGCCTGCAGGTGTGGATGTGAAGGTGAAGGTGGAGGGCGAGAAGGTGTCCGTCTCCCTGCGCACCTCCGCGTAAGGCGCACCAAGGCACCATAGACAGTGGAGGCGGGTCGTCGTAACACCGTCTGGATTGTGGACGCGTCGGCAGGGTATTAACCGTACAGGTCTCCCGGCATGTCCTATAAGAGAATGTGTACCGTACGGCACTTTAGGGATCGGCGTATGGTTTTTCCGTGCCATGGCTTGGCCGCTGGTGTTCAATTGAGAGTGATGAGGGCCCCGCAGAAGCGCGCACGCCAGGCTAGTTGGAGGTGCTGTTTGGGGGGAATTGGGCAGAATTGGGGCCACGATTTTAGGTATGCTAGGGCGTCTGTGAGGCGTTAAGAGTGCAGCTAGGGACATGCTTCTAATGCGTCTGTAGTTGGGCGCGCCTAATGCTTTGGAATGCCGCTGATAGCTAGTAAACATCTTAAGCTTCGTGGCGCGGGTGTTGGCATGTTGGGTTTCCTACGCAGATCTCGGCGTGTGGGGTGTACGTTTCACAGGGGTTCCTTCCCCTGCGTGGAATTGTTGTTGGTATGGTTCGGCAGCGGGGGGCATAAAGGATAAAACGCGGTGGATGTGAGAGGGAATGCAACATTTACAGCGGCAACCATGCAGTTGATTGCTACACAGCATGTAACGGATCCGAGCCTGACAACGCTCAGTGATGGGCTAGGGATTGGGTAGGGCTCCGCATTCAACGCTTGACAGCAGGCACGTTCGCATTGTAACCCTGCCTGCTTACGCATGCAGCTATCAGCGCAACCAAACTGGTAAACGAAATGCGTTGTATTGATAAACAAAAAGGATTTCGAGTATCCCTGCAAGCTAGAAGCCCGTTTCCTGTACGGAGAAAGCGGCAGCGGTTGGATGGGTAACAATCGCTATTGGCAACTCATATTCCTGCACTGCAGGCATTTGGATGGCGAAGCCGCATAGTTTGCTGTTTTAGTATTCAGGACACAGACACAACGCAGCGTGCTATGCTTTGGCTCGGCTTGCAAGCATACAAGCAGTTGATCATCTTACTTCAAGGAAGTAAGCTATGCAAACATCACCTCATATATCACATTATAGGTTAGTCGTTGATACAGTGCGAGCCCCGATACGCTGGCCGGTCGCTGCTCGGTGCCCATGTCGTCGTGATGACCTCCACCCTCGTCGCCCCACGGCGCCTCGTCGCTGTGCGTGCTACTCAACCGCAAATGATCTATCAGTGCTATCGACTTCGGAGCTGAAGGTAGGCGCTAAGTGCGCCCAACTGCCAAGCATGGTCATGGGCATGTGCTGGCCTGCTTCTCCCCCCCCTGCCGGCCCCACTCACAGCCTCACACCCTCTCATCTTCCTTACACCCCGTCCCCGCCACCTTTCTCACACTTCCCTGCTCTCCTTCCTGCCTCACAAATTCCCACCTACCTGCTTCCATCTCGCCCACCATGTGCCACCCACAACACCGCAGGCAGCTCTGCTCCAGGCGGTCCGCGGCACCCAGCGCGGCAAGGCAGCCAGCCCCGCCCAGCGTGCAGCCATCTTGCCGCTCCTGGAGGCGCTGGAGGGGCGCAATGCGGCGGCTGAGCCCGCCAGGTCGCCCCTGCTGGTGTCGGGCGTGTGGGCGCTGATCTACCAGGGTAGGTATGGGTGTACGGAGGTACAGCATGGGTGCTACGTCTACTATGACTGTGTTCATTGCCTACCACAGCCCTGCCGTGCCCACTATCCCAGCGCAGGTGTCCTATGTAGGATACTAATTCCTTCCCACGGGCGGTGTTTGCTGTAATATACCCACAGTTCTCCCTAACATTGCGCACCCAGCAATCTCCACCCTGCCCCCTGCACTCCTCCCACCCAATACCAATACAACCTCAGGGAGGTCCCCCGTACCCATGCATGTAGCCTTGTCACATGGTTTGTTTCTTTTCTCCCTCACCCCATCCACCAGCGCCCCTGGATGAGTTCCGCGCATCTCGAGACATCAGTGGCACCACTGAGGGCCCCTTCCTGGCCGCCCTGCAGCCGCTGAGCCGGGGGCTGGTGCGCACCCGCGCCAACATGCAGCTGCTGGACTTGCGGGAGGGCAGGTGGGTCATGTGGTATGCAGGGTGTGTTAAGAAAACAGGCTGCGAGGAGGTAATTTCCAGAAGATGCATGAAGTCCTCCCACAGAAATTGCACAAGTGGAGTAGCCCGTTAGCTATGGAGTGTGAGGGGGGTTTTACCACTGTAGCCGAGCTGGGGCGGGTTGCGTGGAGGGGTAGGCTTGGAGGAAGTTAACAGGATTCGTAGCATGGCAAATTGATCAGTGAGACAGGCTGTGGTAGTGTGGGACAAGCAGGCACCTGCTGCACCCGCTGCACAGCTCATGGCTGCTCAGCCAATGAACTTTGTCGTGCTTTGTTTGCATTATGGCTTACGACCCACAGGGCTGAGAACCTGGCGGAGTTTTCTGTAGCTGGCGGCCGCTGGGAGGGCGCACTAAACATCATTGGGACAGTGACACCACAAGTCGACCCGCAGGTAACACGGCTCCCCACAGTGCTGCAAATGTAGGTGTTGCTGCTGCATGCCGAGCTCGGCAGCTTGCACCCAGGCCGCCACACTGACATGGTGTGTTCAAGGAAGGGAATCCTTGGTCACGATTAAAAGTAGGTACTGGTACCACCAATCCACGCTCAGCAACATGTCGGATTGCGTGTTGCAGGGCGGCTTGTCACCTTCCCGCGTGGATGTTGCATTCACCCACTTTGAGCTTAGGTTGGGGTCCCTCCCCAAGGTCACTGTGCCCTTGGCTTGGATCCAGCCGAAGGTAGGTGTCTCCCTCATTGTCAGCCTCTTTACTTGTGATATCTGGTAGAGTATGGTCATTGCAAAACCTTACCTGGTCAAGTTCCCTTGTATTGCCGTTGATGAAGATGTTAGTTATGTACAGCTTACTTGGCAGATGAAATATACAGGGGTTGCACAATGATCAGTACGACCAACACCTACCATGTGGCAGGGCTGGATTGAGACAACCTACGTGGATGACGATCTCCGCATTGGACGTGGTGACAAGGGCTCCATCTTCCTCACAAGCAGGTGTGTCCAAACCCAACCAACCAGTTGGCAAACCTCCGAGTTGCATTGTACAGGGCTGTTCAGCTGCACACCTGTGGGGTGTTGTGTGGCAGATGCAGGATAGATGAGGGGAAAGGGATGCATTGTCCACACCCAACACTATCTTGACATCCTTCCACGTGCAGGGTGAAGGATACCAGGTGGCGTGGCGCTTCACCTTCTCCTACTTCACTCTCGTAAATAACCTTTTACCAGCACAGAACCGGCACGGAATGTACTGTAGGTCACTGCGGTCCGACGGAATGACTCCATCCAGGATGTGGAGGGTTTGTGTTGACCTTAGAATAGGGGTCAGGGACAGAAAGGAGGCGCCACGGTAGGGTACCGGGAGACAACTTATCCTTAAAGTGGCACGCACAGGGCCGCTCGCCCGCTTCCCAATTGTCACAACTTGTTAACCGGTCTCGGTTTTGGTGTATGGAGAAGTGGATTAGATCAGTTTACCGTTCAATTAACTCTTCAGGCAAGGGGTACGTGGTCTGTCGAGAACGGTTCTCTGTGATGCAGCTTACCATAATGCGTTTGCTACTAACAAGGAAGCATGATGTCATTGTCTAAATAGGTGTGAACATATATGAGTAGAAATGTGTAGGCACTGTATGTGGTAATGTGCTGGTGCTGCCAACTCTTCAGGGTCGAGGGTCGAAGGGGATCCTTGTTGATCACTGCACAATTTTCATGCAAAGACAATTCCTCCACATCAGATGGAGCACATTACATCACATATAGGTACGCATTCCATCCTTAATGGAATCATGCAAATAGACCCACATACAGGACGACAAGATAACAAGGGATTGATATGACGCCTGCCTGAGCCCAGGGAAAATTGGTGTGAAACCGGTGAAATAAATGGCGAACCTAGGACTCCGAACCCAGTCATCTAGAAACGTGAGTCTGATAAGACCCATGGGTCAGTGCCAAGGACCTAAAGAAACCCAGCAGGGAATGCGAAGGTGCAAGCTCTTGCTACCAATTATTTCTAATTGCTCAATGCAACCGCAGATTTTAAAAAGACGATTCCTACACGAGTGATGGCTCGGATGAAGATGTGGCGACGACCAGCTAATGCCTCTGCCGAGGCCGCCGACACCCGAAGCCATCCGCCGGCTGAGGAGAATGAGGAGAACACCGCAGGCGCTGGTTCAGCCACTGTGAGCGGGGGACATGCCTCCTCCGCAGCCGTTGCCACCATTGCTAGCAGGATTAGGGAAGCTGGTGGCAGTGCTGCTGGTGGTGGAGGTGACGCTGCTATGTCCACCCAACTGCCTCCAAGCCCTCTGCTGGCTATGCAGCCTCCACCATCCTCCCTGTCCGCTCAGCTGCTGTCACTCTCCCATACGTCGCACCAGGATTCCCAGGTGCCATCAAACCCACAGCGGGCTACCCAGCAGTATCCGCTGCTGCGAACGGCCCATCCCCCCTTGACAGCTTTCTTAGCACCGCTGCAGCAGCAGCCATCATCACAGATCGGTGCTTTGCCTGAGGCCATGGACGAAGGTGTAGATGTGGATGATGGCCGGGCTAGGAGCTTACAGCTCCAGTTGGACAGCAACAGTGGCGACCAAGGCGCCGTCGTACAGTCATCAAGGCCCTCTGCCCCGCCGACTGGGCTGGCGGCAGGTGAAGCAATGAACATCTCCACGGGGTGTCAGCACCACGCTGCAACAGGGTATGCACCGGAGGACAGCAGTATTGGCGGCGGTATGGAGCTGGCAGCGGCGGATGCAGCCGTCGATGCGCTTGTCGACATGAAAGATACTGCACTGCAGCCGCCACCGACAGCGCCCAGGTTCCAGGAGGCCCCCCAGCGGAATGACCCACGGGTCACCGAACAAGCCACACAGGTGTGGACAGCAGCCGGTGCAGCTTCTGCACGCACGCTCTGTGCAATGCCTGACGGCGGCGTAGGCTGTGTCCCAAGCGGTGGCGGTGCTGCCGCTGGCGGTCCTATTGGCCATGGTAACGGTGGCGGCAATCCTGGTAGCGGTGGCAGCAGTGATAGCAGCAAACTTACTGGCGGTGACCACAGCAGCGGCGATGGTGCAGGCGGTGGCGGTGGTGGAACAAGCGGCGGCGGAGCTCCCGCCGCGGGGCATCGAGCTCTTGCCACTGCTGCTGCTACCGGCCGGGTTGGCGGCGAGGGCCGTGAAGCCGCTGCCGCTGCTGCCGGCATCAGTTGCCGACGTCCGAGCCCTCGGGACACGGCATGCGGGGCTGCTGGCAGGTCGCTGGAGGGTGGAGCTGCACAACTGCAACACGGTGACGTGACGCGGGCTGCTGCAGGTACGGCAACAGCTGCAGACCTAGCAAGGAGAACGGCAGCGGCTGCATGTCTAGGTACGGCTGCAGCTGCAGACACTGGAGCAGCGGCAGCCCCAGTCACTGCCACACCTGAAGCTGCGGCTCCTTCTGCGGCTGCAGCGCCCAGCAGCGGGGGTGGGCGCCATGCGACCGTTTATGTGACATCGGGTTGCTTGGTACACGACAACAGCATCCTGTACGTGAGTGCCGACATTGCAGAGCAGGAGCTCGGTCTTACTCCTATCCAAAAAGGATACCGGGTGCTCTATCGAGAGCGGCCTGAAGATCAACCCGGCCCCCTCAAGACAGAGAACAGTCGCAATGTAGAATCCATGCTGAAATGCTATATGCCAGGGTGGCGGGTCACTGGCATTGGCCATTGGCTGCGCCATCTGAAAGCCACGGTTGGACACCCCCTGTCCATATCTGCCATGCCGGAGGCGGCTGTCACGCCCCACAAGGGCAACGGCACCATTGTCATCATCATCACGTTCCTGTCGGAGCAATTGGAAGGCGGTTCGGCGGCTGTCACGACGCCTGTGGGTCCGGCAGGCGGTCCCTCCAACGTGCACCCCCGGACCATGGCAAGGGCAGGCGCGGAAGCACAAGGAACGGGCGACGCTCGGCTGCAGGCTGGCCGACAAGGCCGGCAGACACGGCTGGCTGCAGCAGCGGCTGCTGCCGCCGCTGCTGCTGTAGGGGCCGGGCCGTCCAACGCTGGAGTCCCTCCGGTGGCTGCGACGGCTCGTGGAGCGCACAAGACTGCCCCTGCTGGCAAGGGAAGGGGTGGCTGCAGTGCAGGCGGAGTCGGGGCGCACGGGGCAGGCAGCAACGGTATCGCAGGCATTGGGGGAAATGGTACTGGCGGCGGCGGTGGCAGCCGTGGAGGCGATGCTGACAAGGGCTTACCGCTCGTTGACCTGAGCGTGAACACGTTCAAGTACCATAAAGTAATCGTTGGTGCAAAAACCGTGCGGTGGTTGCTAAAAGATATTGACAGCGGCGCCGGCGTGGTCCCCAAGGAGTTCAGGGTCTTCATTAAGGAGAGCGAGGGAGAACCAGTGTCCGCTGCAAAGGCACCGGGCAAACACGGAGCTACACTCCGTGTCACATTCAGCATCAACAGGGGGGAGTGGTCGAGTGGATCGATGACGGGGCTCACCCCATGGCTCAGGGAGACAAATGCGTTGATCCGGGACCAGTTACGACTGGATCTGGTTCCCGCGGCATGGGTGCCTGCCGCGATGGCCGGCGCCGCGGGCACGGCCGCTGGTCACAACGGCGGCTACGTCATCGTGGTCTCCTTGCGGCGGAATCCGCCGCCTGCGGGATTGGAGGCAGCAGCCGCGGAGGCGACGGCAGCAGCGGTGGGCGAGTCCAGTGGAGCAGCAGCCTTCAGGGGCGAGGACGATGGCGGCGGCGGCGGTGCTGGTGACGAAAAGGGTGAGGGCAGCGAACAGGGTGGCGAGGAAAACGGCGACGAGAGCAGTGAGCAGGGCAGTGAGGAGAACACCTCCCAGGAAGGCAGCGATGAGGGCAGCAGTGACTTTGGTGTTGATGCCAGCACCAGCAGCAGCGGGAGCAGCGATGGGGAGGGACGCATGAGTGATGACGAGGCTGGTGATGACATGATTAGCTATGAAGGCAGCGACGCGCATGAGGAGGACAATGGGGGTGCTGGTGTCCGTGGCGGCAGGAGCGCTCTTCCCACTGGTCTTCACGTTGCAGCCCCCGCCGCCGCCGCTGCATTCGCATTCACAGGTGCACTAGCAGCAGTAGCAAACCCCGCAGCCGTCGACGCAACTCCCCGTCCTGCAATTCTGCCTGCCTGCTCCATCTCCCACCTGCACGGCTACCTGCCGCCACGCACTACTAGCCTGCCGCCGCTGCAGCCAGTCTATGAAATGCGGCTTTGGGAAACCGTCACATACCATCCGAAACTGGACATGGAGCGTGTGATGACGGCTTGGGAGGCTACCGCCATGCTAAAGTGTGGGCGGAAGGCGCAGTTCAGCTTGCAGGAGCAGCTGTGCATCCCGGGCATTGACGCGGCAGCTGCAGGGACCACTGATGCGCAGCAGCAGCCAGCGCAAGCCGGGTGGATGTCTACCTTCCGTCAACACGGCCTGGACGCTGCCATAATTCGTAACGACTTCGCAAAGGGGCTCGAACGGGCGGCATCAGCAGAGGGTCCGGTGGTGAAAGCGGTGGTGGGGCGGGACACCAGCCGAGGCGGTCTGGGGCTGTTTGCTAGGCCGTCAATGAGGAAGAACGAGATCATCTGCATCGCGGGTTGCTACGTGATGCCGCAGGGAGAGACCGCGGAGGCTTTCGTGAATCAGGGCTGGCAGGCGCTTCCGGGCAGCGTGCGAGCGCAGCTGCAGGAGCGTGTCCAGCGCTGCTGCCAAGACATGCAGCCGCAGGACGAGCAGCTCGCATGGAGGTTCCTGGCGAAGTCCTTCAGCGTGCCGCTGACGATGGGGCGGGAGCAAGGGGCAGCGGCAGCGGCGGCGGGACAAGGGTCGTCATCGCCATGGGCGGCGGCAGGTACTGGTAAGTGGTCCTGGGGAGTGGTCCTGGGGAGTGGTACTGGTGGGCTTAGGGATACACTGGTATGCGGGGACGCTGGTGGGATACGGGCACGGTGTATACTGCGAGGGGATACGAAATGTGAAAAAGGAAGACGGGAAAGGGTGTACCGGTATGGTGGTAGCTATGTGCCAGTATGCAGCAAGTAATATCACTTGGCTTACTTTGCCCAAACAAAGGTACTAGTTGGGGCAAGCCTGGCGTGCTGCTAGGTCGCCTCTTGCCTGTTATCTCAGTTTCAACTGACCCCACGTTCCCTGACCGGTGCTCAACTGCCCTTTTGCCCCTCACTGCCGGATCTGCCCTCCCCAGGAGGACTGCCGCCGCTGGAGCTGAACATGCTGGGGTACGGCAACCTGGCGGCGCTGGTGAATGACCCACGGGTCAATCCATGGGAGGACGGCGACCCTAAGAGAGCAGCGGAAGATGCGAACTGCATGGTAGGTGGGCGGCGTGCTTTTAGGTTACGTCAGTTGAGACCTGCCTTCTCTCTGGCTATGAAGCCATAAGCACAATGAGCACCCTGCATGCAACTTTTTAAACCTCTAATCAACTACGGTAGCACTGCGTGCCTGTGTCGTCAGACAGCTATCTGGCCCAAACCAGTGTTGGGGCCTGACATGCCAAGCATCACACTTGCGACATGCCATCTTAAACCTGTCATGAAATGCTAAGTAGCTTGCAGCCGGTACCCGGTAGCCATGCTTATCCGTCTGGGAGTTGCGTCGAGCGGGCGCGGCAACACCTTTCCTCCCCCTTTCGCCCTTCTTCTCCTTTG